ACCAGAAGCTTCTTAATAATAGAACGTGTTTCACTGATATCAAAGATGCAACATTTAGAATCACCTTCCCCCAACCCCACTTTTTAAGCATTACATTTTTTTATGTCAATAATAAGAAACCCCTGTAACGTCAAAAACGGAGTTTCAGCAATTGTTACATTTTCTTTTTTGTCTATAGCACCCTTGCCATTGGACTAAAACTACAAAGCTTTGGCATACTAGTAACCCCTTGTGGAAATTTCATAAAAATCCCAGCAATAATTTCCAAGTTGATGATGAGTGATATAGTTTTTCGTGATGTAGATGTCATATGACTTAAAAAAACATAGAAATTAGAAATTTTTCGCGATTACAATACTTCCACGCCACTGGCATGGGAAGTAAAACGGCTTTAAAATCGAGGAGTATCAGCGAACGCGATTATGAATACCTATTTGCAGAACGACTTGTCTATGCGATATTATATGAAATAGGGCCACCAAATTATCTGAATACGTCCATTCAAAGTCCGTACATTGCGCCGCAACGCTTGGGTTGGCTGCACGAAACAGTAGACAAAATTCGTCCAAAATACGATTTATAGAGGTTTGCGCGCTTCAAAATTGACGCTTCATTTTTTGATATTTTTGAATGGAATTTTCATAATGTGCTGAAAAAAAACCCACATTGTGCTATAGAGCCACTTTACCATTTTTTTCACTAGATTCTTTTTAAAAAAATCGCGAAGTTCAACAGAAAAAGTGCGCACTTCAGCCCATCATAAAACTTGTGCAACAACAAAATTTCAAAAAGTGCTCCTATAGCACCCTGGGCAATTATCTTCTGAACATACTGTATGAATTTCATTCAAAAATATTGAAAAATGGAGTGTCAGCTTCGAAGCAGCTGAACCCTTGTAAATGGCTTGAAACTCACTGCGTCGGAGCCGCCTTAAGGAAATTTGTACTTTGTACTGTGAAAACATATAAAAGTGCGTGGGCTCCAGATGAAATGGTATCTGTGGACTGCATCTTAGCACTAAACACCCCTCTTCAAAAAGGAATTCCAGTGTGAAAAATTGTCTGTACTAAGAGCGCCATATCTTGTGAGGTGTATGTAACTATACAGGGTGTTTCAGTTTATCGTTGCATAACTGTAAGATTCGATAGAACTTTTATAATTAATGCATAAAGTCTATATAAACATGGGTCGAAAAATGCGTGGCTTCCGAAATACAGGTGTTTAAATTTACTTTCTAAAATAGTTTTTTTTTAATATTTCGAACAATATTTGATATATAACAGTGAAAATTGGTATACAGGGGTTTTTTGGTACGACAAAAGTTTTACTGTAGCTACTAGAGGGCGCTCTCTACTGTACCTGTAGTGTATTAAAATGACCGAAAAATTTTTCTTAGTGCAAATTTTTGCTTTTTGAATAAAACAACTGATTCTTCGCACATTTCAACATAAAAAAGCTCTCTTGTAAATTTTCGTTATAGTTAGCCGTTTTTGAAATATTTCGATTTTTAAGGTTCGATGCATTTTTAACTATTTATGATAAAATAACGTTAAAAAGTCAGTATCTCGATAATTTTTAGAAGTCGGCTGTGCCTGCAAATATTTTTGAAATTGAAAGCAGAATAAGGTTAATTAGTTGACAGTTACTTTTGTTGTCTGTTGAAACCTGAAACGTTTTTTTGCAATTGTGAATGCACGAAATTTAGTTTTTTTTACCTGTTTTTTTTGTAAGTTTTATAAAAATGCCATTTTTATTCTCCAATCAAGAGTTAGCGGATATTCATTTTGTATATGGCTTTGTAAATGGAAACGCAGCAGAAGCAGCCAGAGAATACGCACGAAGATTTCCAAACAGACGACATCCAACTCGCTCAGTATTTGTAAGAGTGCATCGCCAAATAATTGAAAATGGTTTTGGAAATCTGCAAAGGGATCAAAACATAAATGTTCGTCAGCGCAGATTTACCCGTACGATTCTGCCTGAGTTTGATAGAGATCCGACCACAAGTGTTAGGAGAGTTTCTGGTGCCTTGGGAATTTCAGCAAGCCATGTTCGCCGTGTTCTTAGAAATGACCATAGACGTCCTTACCATTTGCAACCTGTGCAAGCAGTACAGCCAGGGGACGGAGAACGAAGAATCACATTTTGTCAGTGGATTCTTGATTGAACTGATAATAATAGGGAGTTTTTAAGCAACGTTTTATGGACCGATGAGTCAAACTTCACTAGACGTGGAGTGGTAAATTTTCATAATCAACATATTTGGTCGCATTCGCATGAAAATCCGCATGCAATTCGTGAAAGAAATTTTCAGCATGAATTTAGTGTGAACGTGTGGATTGGTATCTACCGTAATCGACTATTTGGACCTTACCTTTTGCCTGCAAGGTTAAATGCTGCGACCTTCTTGGAATTTTTAAAGGCTGAACATGCAAATATGTGGGATGATGTTATGTTAGATTTAAGAAGATTGGCCTGGTTACAGCTTGATGGTTGTCCAGCTCATTATGCGAGAATAGTTAGAAACTGGCTGGACGAAAATTATCCAGAAAGATGGATCGGCCGTGGAGGACCAGTCGCCTGGCCTCCACGATCCCCTGAAGTAAATCCATTAGATTTCTTTGTGTGGGGATTTCTAAAAGAAAAAGTGTACCAGACTCCCGTAACCACGTGATATATGCTAATAGACAGAATCAGGAATGCATGTGGATGTGAATTTTGTATTGAACAATTGGGTTTACATTTCGAGCAACTACTTTAGATTTTGTATGTTTGTCCTAACTATTCAATTGCATTTTAGTTGTAAATAATTAATTTAATTTTTTTAATTTAATATTGGAAAATTATACAAATTAATATTCTGTTTTTTTGTGTTTATTTGGAGTTAGGAATTATTGCTGTGTTTAAAAACACAATCTAAACGATCTTAATTACTTATAATGCCCAAATCGAAAATGTAAAAAAAAAATATTATTTTCCCATAAATAATTAAAAATGCATCGAACCTTAAAAATCGAAATATCTTAGAAACGGCTAACTATAACGAAAATTCACAAGAGAGCTTTTTTATATTGAAAAGTGCGAAGAATCAGTTTTTTTATTCAAAAAGCAAAAAATTGCACTAAGAAAGAATTTTCGATCATTTTAATACACTACAGCTACAGTAGAGAGCGCCCTCTAGCGGCTACAGTAAAACTATGGTTCGTTTTGTCGTACCAAAAAACCCTTGTATACCAATTTCCACTGTTATACCTCAAATATTGTTCGAAATATTTAAAAAAAACTATTTTAGACAGTAAATTTAAACACCCTGTATTTCGGAAGCCACGCATTTTTCGACCCATGTTTATATAGACTTTATGCATTAATTATAAAAGTTCTATCGAATCTTAAAGTTATGCAACAATAAACTGAAACACCATGTATAGGGAGAAAGCCTCGGGTCTACGAGTTCTAATTATTTTCAAAAGAAGTAAACAAGCAAAAAGGTTATAAATAAAATACAAACACGAGAAGATTCGGTGACAGGGTAGAAGGATGCGTGTCTTCACTTTTCAATAACACTAGCTCATCTGCAGAAAAATACCTTTCACTAACATAATGCCATATGCAATTGCCAAAATTGCATAGTTTGTGATTGCCTGTCTCGCTGCGATACATTATTGAAGTCATTTGGTATTGTAAAATTCTGACGATTGCATCCTTTGTCGATGCAATATTCATTCGTGTGGAGATAATTGAATGCTTCCAAAGCACAGTACTGAACAAAAAGCGTCCTAGCGCTCATCCGGTTTCGACGCATGGCCGAGCTCTACCAAAGAACCGCTCATTTCGGCTCATCGAAATCCACGTCACCGAGGACTTGATCTGTCATGACTTGTCAATAGCGCAATAGCGGGAGCTGCTGGGAAAAAGATAGGCTATTTGTTTAGGAATAAGAAGTACTTTTCTCCACATGACCTCTCTACTCCGTAGAAGGAGGTATTGCCGGAGACGATACTAGGCGTGCTGAACCAGCTACTGAGTTCGCAAGACTTCCCCAAGATCTGGAAGATTGCCTTAGTGACTCTTATATGGAAGGGAAAACCCGTGGAACTACCTTCCTCGCACAGACCTATCTGTATGCTGAGCGTAGTGGGAAAGTTCTTCGAAAGACTAATTAAACTTAGAATCGAAGAGGAGCTCAAATCGAAAGTTGACCTGTCAAACGAGCAGTATGGATTTAGGAAGGGCAGATCAACCATCCAGGCAATTAAAGCAGTCGCGGAGACGGAAAGCAAGTGGTGCGCACTGATCACTGTTGACGTAGAAAATGCCTTTAACTCGGCTACTTGGAGCCTAATTCTTAAGGAACTCCGACGTAGGGAAGTTTCAGCATACCTGATAAATTGGTGGAGAGCTACTTCCAGGACAGAAAGCTTCTCCTAACGAAGAGAGAAACGGGGGACATCTGCGCGGGAGTTCCTCAAGGCTCAGTCCTTGGGCCTCTTCTGTGGAATGTGCTTTATGATGGAGTTCTGGGTCTTGCATTTCCACAGGGAATAAGATGCATTGCGTACGCTGACGATCTGGCGATCATAGTGGAGGCGAACTATTCCAAGGAGCTGGAAATCATCACGAACGAAGCGTTGGCAAGAATCAGCGAGTGGATGGCAGCAAACAAGTTGCGACTTGCCCCACAGAAGACGGAAGCCGTGATACTGGAGGGATCCCGCAAGAAGAGCTGGGTGAATTTCCAATTCCTTGGCACGAAGATAGTGACAAAGAGACACCTCACGTACCTGGGAGTCGTGTAAGATGGCAACTTAAAGTTTGGAGAGCACGTTCGTCAAGTCATCAGGAAGGTAGATGCTAGGATGGCCCAGCTATCAAGAATACTACCAAATATAGGAGGTCCAAGTAGCCCTAAAAGGACGGTCCTTTGTGAGGTAATCCACTCCGTTCTCCTGTACGCAGCTCCTGTATGGCACCGTGTGGTCCAAGTCCAGAGATATAGACAAATGCTCTTGAGTATCCAGAGGAAGGCTTGGCTGCGGATATCGAGTGGCTACAGAACAATGTCCACTATGGCCGCTCAAGTAATAGCTGGAATACCCCCAGTCACTCTACTCATAGAGGAAAGGCTCCGCCTGTATAGCAGGGATGATGCTAAGCTTCGTACTACCAGGTTGCTGGAAAGAAGCACAACTTTGGAGAAATGGCAGCGTGTGTGAAGCGACCACTCAGAGACGGCAATCTGGAGCAAGACTCTGATCCCGGACGTAAGACAGTGGGTTAGCTGTAAACATCGAAGGCTAGACTTCTACTTGACCCAGTTTCTATCGGGCCATGGATACTTTGGGGATTACACCAAAAGAATGGGAATCACGGAGGGCAGCATCTGCGGTTATTGCGGAGAGGAGGACTCCCCGGAGCACACAATCTTTGTTTGTCAAAGATGGGCCGCATGGAGGAGCAATACAGAGTCAGTTATCGGTGCGGAGGTCAATAGCAGAAGCATCACCATACTCATGATGAAAAGTAAGGAGAACTGGAACACAATACAGAGGTTCGTTCGTAATGTGATGAACGCAAAGCGCAGGGACGACATCTTGCACTAGCAGAAGAAACGAGCATATCCGCTGCGAATGCATCTGAAGACATGCCGCAACAAGTGGTGCTACCGGATGTAGTCGCGAGCCAGAGGAGGTGGTTTAGTGAGTAGTCAGTCTACTAGAATGTAGCTGGAGTCCCACACTCCCATGCGCGCTGGAACCCCGGCGTATGGGGTCCGTAAAATGGATTCCACCTCCCGGTCCCCCTAGGACCACTAAAAAAAAATAAACTCCGTAGAAGTCCCCCATAAGACCTAGCCTCGAGTACTGCTCACATATCTGCGGTGCTGTCCATTCAACTACATTATCTATGCTCGATGCTTTAGAGAGGAGGGTTGTCCAATTGACCACTGATTCTTCTCTTTTGCACATGCAGGCCGTCGGCGATCAAGGTCTCTACTACCGCTAAGCCAATGGGCCTTGCTCCTCAGAGGTCTCCTCCATGATGCCGCCGCGCGATGTGGCTGCTAGACAGACCCGCTCTGATATCAGCCTTCCGTCTTACGGTACGAACATAGTGGAGCGACGAGGTTTCAGATTCAGATATCTGGTAGCGTCTAGAGCGTAGAGGCAAGAGGCACCTATGGTTATAGTAGAGCGTCGCGTTTTGTCGAAGATAGACGTAAAAATATGTATTCCGACAGTGACGATGACATTCTTCTCAATAATACTTACCTGCAAGTGCTTTTAATGACTGGAGTGCGGCAGTGTAGTGTGCACGACGTAAATAAAAGTCGGAAACGCCTAGGGGAATTCCATCATTTATTTCTAGAACTGAAAATTATCCCGACAGGCTATTTGACTACATTCGAATGGAACTTGCCACCTTTCAGTATATATTAGAACAAGTTACACCCTGCATCAACAAGAAATGGACAAATTTTAATCAAGCGCCTATAGGAACCGAAGAAATGTTGGTGGTAACAATTCGGTAAGAGAATATTATGTATTAAGGATAATACTTTTATTATTCATAAACAAACAAACGGTAACGCAAAATAATATTCTGTCTTCTGAACACAACGAACGATAACTTATAATAACTTATAATGTTTACTGATCTGCGTAATTAAACCCCTGCAACAAATGGGATGAATGTGCAAACGATGTTTGTGGTTGAGATGTATATGTCGGGCTATGATTAACAGAATGACTGACATTGATGGTGGACTGATTGTTCGAGTACTCTTCATAGGCATACTTCTGAACCAAATTTTGAATTTCATTGCGGAACTGAAGTTTTCGATGAGGCCTAATTTTCACCACGTGGGGCAAAAGGCTATCAAAAAACAGTTTATCGTCATCTGTGACTGGTAGGGCTCTGCCACGGTCTGCAGCGACACGTTTCTCATCTAAATATTGTAGTTTTTTCTTCTCTATCTCAAGAAAAGCGTCAAGTTGATTTGACCGTTTTCGGGCCCTATTCTTTAGAATAGTTCGTGGTTCTTTTGGTGTGCTTTGAATTGGAGTGACTGATTCTGTGTGGTCGGGTTCTGTTTCCTGCGTTTCTACACCCTGCGTTTCGTCCATTTCGTCTTCGTCATAGTCACCATCATTTTCATCCATCTGCGTAGAGGGTGTCGAAACTTGTGTGTCATTGTCGGGATCCAACAGGTTGCTATGACTGGATCTCGGCAGAAACTGGTCTCTCAGAAACAATAAACTTTTGAAATGAGGCCAGGAGCTCTTTTTAAGAGCCTCTTCGCCTGGATCACCAGACCGGGGCAGAGGTATTTTCTTCAGTTCTTTTCTGAAATAATCACGTAGATTTTTCCACTCTCAGAAACTTTCTTAACTGCAACAAACAAAAATTTTCAGATATCTTGCAACAGGAGCGTCCTTTAGACACTTGGCATTTTCCTTTCGAATGGGCAGGAGTACTGTTGCGAGCATTATAAAACATATGATTAAAATATTATGGAACATGCTGCAACCACTTCACATGCCAGAACCTACTACGGCAACATTTTTAAATGTAAGTGCAGACTTCATGAAAGTATGGAACTTCCCCAATTGCATCGGAGCTGTTGACGGCAAACACGTCAAAGTTATAGCACCACAACATTCCGGATCCATGTACTTCATTATAAGCATTATTTTTCTATCGTCCTACAAGGAGTTTGCGACGCAAATTACAAATTGCTTGTGATAGATGTCGGGGGTTACGGCAAACAGAGCGATGGGGGAACGTTTCAGAGTTCCAATTTGTACAAACGGATACACCAAAACAAACTAAATGTGCCAAATCCAGATAGTTTACCAGGAACAAATGTCCGCGCTCCCTACGTATTTATTGCAGATGAAGCGTATCCACTAATGCCCAATTTGCTAAACCATACAATCGAAGGAACCGCTCTTTGGAACATATAAATTTTAACCAAAGATTGTCCAGAGCACGCAAAACTATCGAGTGCACCTTTGGAATTATGTACGCGAAGTGGCGTCTTCTGTCCAAAGCTATAGAGACTACTGAAAAGACTGCGGATGATATCATTAAGGCGATATGCATTTTGCATAATACAATACTGGACCGAGAGGGATTTCAACGACATTTAACATTAGTAACTGATGCAGTTCCTAGAGATCAGATGTTTGAATTACCTAGAGGAAGGCAACTGGGTGAAGGTCAAAGAGTTCGCGACATTTTCTGTAACTATGTTAATTTCTTTCCAATCAGTTACGAGACAGCTTAAAATTTTTACCGCAAGATGTAAGTTCTAGCTGTTGAAATGTGTATAAAATACAATTATTTACTTACCCGACTGATTATTGCATTCATTGGCTACCTCCTCCCATAACTTATCTAGCACGTATCGGTTGCGATGATCTGGATGACTCTGATCCCATATAGCCCTTCTGTGATATACACTATTTATTAATTGCACAACATCCATTATTAAATCGCTTGAAAACGCGTGACAAAAATTGAATGCAACTATTTAAAACTCGTCGCTCGAAACCTCCTAGAGACTCGACGCATGCCTTATCGCGCTACTATGGCCCGACAGGTTTCAACCTGTGTTTTTGACTCACATAGCGGCAAACCGCGCGGTTAGCCTCTATCTGAATCTGAAACCCTCGTCGCTCCACTATGTTCGTACCCTTAACCGTGTCAAACTTCGCACAAGCAGAACTGTCCCAAGGGTATCAAGAATTTTCTGATGGACGTCAACAGGGAGAGATACTATGTTAATGTCTGTTGAGATAGTGAAGAATTCAAATCTGAATGAAGCTGATTGGTCATAATATGGAAATATCTATCGCCACCCGACTCAATCGATAACTGTATTAACAATGAGGAAGTACTGATCGACCAGCCAAAGATTGCTAGGGACGAAAGGGGGAAATGCGATGAAAAAACCTTACCATTAGACGATTTTATATGGAGTCATAGGCGGAGATCGGAGAGACTTGAATTATTAATTGAATTTATATTTTATTACAACTGGTAGTATTAATATTTTTTTTGCGATTCATAATGACGTGATACCAAACATACATTATAAGAAATAAATATACACAAACACTGAATATTGAGAACAAAATAAATATATTTTTTAGGCAACAAGTAATATTCCTATGTACGCATTATGATTGAACAGCAAAACAAATTATGCATTCTTCTAAAATAGAATACAACAAGTCAAAAATATCTGACTGAATAGAAAAATATAGGAAAACAAAAAGTAATTTCTTGATGAAATAACCATAAACAACACATAGAATTAGACTTTCTACTGAGATACTAAAAGCCACAAACCAATAGTATAATAAATGAATATCTAAAAATTCTAAAAGGTAGCCAATCTAGTATAGTTTCAATCCTGATTAGAGTCATGATCACTGTCTGAGAACTGTCATTGCTATCACTTTCACCTCCTATGTTGATTATTATTCTTCCTGTATTTCTTGAATGAGACTGTCTTTTTCCCAATATTCATCTTCAATTTTATAACATGTCCAATAACCTTTTGCCAGTCACTGGCACTTACTGAAGCGATGGCCTTATTAGAAATTTCATCTAGTTTTTTTATAGTAAATTCGCCGCTTGTATTATGGCTTCTAATGAAAAAATTTTACTTGTGCCCAAATCATCTCTATGGGATTAAACTGACACATATAGGGTGGCGTTCGAAGTGGGGTGTGTCCGAAACTTCTTATTAAATTATCTATCTTATAATTTTTCTCATCAGATGGTGGCCTATGTAGACAAGCTATTTCATAAAGCTCCATTTTTTTAGCATTAGGATCATGCTCTATACCTTTTTTGCTCAACCACGTGATGATGTCTCTTTTTAGAGAAGATCTAGTTGGAGGCTTGTCTTCCAAAGCTGAATGGTAAGGTGCATTATCCATTATTATAATACTATTAGGAGGAATGTTAGGAAATAGTTTTTCAGTAAGCCACTTCGTGAAATTTTCTTGGTTCATTTGACCGTGATAATCACCAGTGGCACAGCCAGCCTTGAAAATGAGACAGGCTCCAGGAACAAAACCATCTTGCGAACCCGCATGAACAATTATAAGTCGTCCTGGAAATGAATAAATAGCCTCATTTTAGTGTTATTTTAAGTTTGCCAACACCTTTTTGAATCTATGTATAAAAAACATATTTTTGAGAAAAAAATACTTGCAAGGGATTATGTATTCAATTAGACAAATTAAATGAGCACTTATTAAGAATATTCCAAAATTGAGAAAAATGTATAATAAGCAAAATCGAGGTGAAAGAAACTTTATTACCTGTAGAACTTATATTGCTCAGGACACCCATAATTTCTTCGCTTTGCCAGCATTTCTTGAAAGTGAGGTCATTATCAACCCAAGTTTCGTCCAAATAAATAATATGCCTTCCTTCTTCCCGGAACTTTTTAATAGACCTAAGATACTTGTATCGCCAATGTAAAATACTGGGTCTTTCCATTAGTAATTTCCTTTTGTTGTGGCATTTACGCCAGTAAAATCCTTTTGCTTTTAAAAGCAGCCTCAACGATTCTTTACCAAATGGAAATTCCATTTCTTCCTTCAGTTTGATTAGAAGTTTACTACAAGTAGGTACCACTTTAAAATCACAGTAAAATTTTTCTATCATTCTCCGAATAATGGAAAAATCGACTCCATCAATTTTTTGGATCACAGAAGGGCGTGATCTCTTTTTTCCGGGAGAAGCTAAAGGCTGTGTGGAGGTTGCATTTTGCCTGTCTTTATCTTCTTTTCTAATTTTACTTATAGTTCGTTCACTAACACCCGTATAATATGCCGCCCTTGCATTTCTAGCTACCAGTGGATAAACGAAAGTATTGTTAGCCGCTTCTGCATCGCAAGCACGTATCACGTTTGCTATTATTTCCCTTGCCTGGCTGTGAATAACTTTCCCATGCTTGAATTCCATTATCACCACTAAACAGTAAATTATATTTTCAAAGTATTTGCCAACTGCCTACGCCTATGGGAGTAGGTTTATAAATGACCGTGCCATCGGCACGTTATTCTAGTTTCAGATAAGATAAGAGTTTTGGACCAATCAGCGACCGGATGTTTACCTGCGGCCTGGGTTTTCCAGCTACATTGCCAAATTCAGCGGAACAATTCTATATCTTAAATATGTTAATATGTATGGACCGCATTTTATGTAGAACATCTGACAACTTCGCAATTTTTTGTCCGCATTCTTTCGGCTTGCAATCTTTCGCTGGTCCAACAGTAGTATTATCCACCAGCTATTCAACGTGCGACTAGAAAAAGAACAATGGTGCGCTGGTGACACTAAAATGGCGCCGTACACAGCGAAGTGAAGTGCTCCATCCTGGTCCTAATGCTAGTTTTGCATACATAAAGAGACGACCACAATTTTTTCCAGATCATAAATTTTCTTTATTGTCTATTTCCGTTGGTCTCAATGTAATCCTTTGCATATTTTGCATCGATAAAGTTTGACCGCAAAATAAATACATCTCTATTTCTGGGTGCAGTAAACGTAAAGTGAATGGCTTCCATAATGTACTGCACTTGAATATAAATACATCTTCGTGTGATTACAAAGTTAAAATATTTATCGAGTATATTTCAAGATTTCCAGTGTTCACTCGAAATGATCAACCTTCAGTATGTATATCCTTGAGATGTGAAATTACTCGCAAAAACTTTCTCATCTGGTAGAAGGATTAGTCCATCTGCTGGCGCAACTTTTCAAATATTGCAGACAGTTCAGGCCGTGAGCTCAATACCTAAAATCTTTTTTGAAAAGGATATCTCTATAAGTAGATTGAGTTAATATAGCCCCACATGAGCTACAGCTATAATAGTACGCAGTAGATGAAGAATTATAAAAAATGTTATGATGAAATACTTCCAAATATTTAAACCTTTAAAACATGTGTTTTGGGATTTATGTCATTCTTTCATTCAATGATACTACTATGTCAAGAACGAAAAAGCATTTTAGTTTTTGAAAATCGATGCAGTGGTGGCGAAGCTGGTGGCAAAATTGTAAAAAAAACTATAGCTCAATCTTCGTTTCTGTACGGCTCCTGAACATTTTCAGAAAAAAAATTTATAGCTGAAAAAAATTGAGGGTTGGGAGTGTAAAGATGGATTTTGCACATAGGATTCCCCTCACATCTGTCCTCAAAACTTAGAATAAAAGAGGAATATTTTTAACACACATCTCTGGATATACCTGCGTCGCGGGTGGCATACCTGGCTGGCGACTTTAGGCATAGCAACGTTGCCAGATGGTCGATATTGTCAGGTGTTCGTCGCTTACTTTACTCAAACTTAATTGGTGATAACATGGTTTAAACTACTTTTAAACATGCTTGATCCAGTCAGGTGTTAGTAGCAACTTCAGGCCGCCTAGACAACGAATGGTTCTTATAACTTATAAAAGTTTTCATTCCAAGTATTGTGTCACTGTTACTCTATCAAGAGAAGGGTGTGGGTTGCGACGTGATACCGCTGTGTGCGACTTTCTAAAAAACTTCAGGCATTATAGAGACGTATGAGTATGAGCATTCAATTATTTGCGAAAATGGAATCTGCCCAGTCCAACGCCTGCTTTTACTTCAATTTGCAGTAAGACCAAATGAGAATGAGAAAACCCCTCAAATAGGTGGCATCTGCTGTAATAGGTGTTAAAATGGATGTTTCCTGGAATTTTCTTCGCAAGTGTTTCCTCTGCTCGTTTTTTTACCTTGAGGCCAGAAAAATGTTTCCCAGCGTTTAAATTACCTGTGTATATATGGGGTAAGCCCAGCAAACAAATAATTCCCTATAACTTCAAAAATCCGATTCCAAGTTACTTTTTTAGCGATAAAGATTATATTATTTCGACTTCAAAACATCATACTCTTTTCCAGCTCAATGGAACCGATCCATAGGAAAGCGACGGTACTCTATGTACTGCAGATGATGAGATTGACAATCACTCCCTTTCTTAGGAAAGATATATCTCCCTAGGACCGAAGGTGTATACCAAAAGAAGTAGGTAGAACAAGCGCTCAATCCAGGAGAAGCTAACCGAACATTGAATACGTAATAATATGTTATTTAGAATAATATTGCCAGTTTTTTTTCATTCGTATACTAGTGATAGACATTTATGTATAGATTTCCATTATTATAAGTCAAATGCGGTTTTGGCTACATCAGAGGTACCTCAAGGTTCTAGGTCCAATACTATTTTTAATTTTTATTAATGATATGTGACAGACTTGCTTTATGCTGACGATTTGAAAATTTTCCACAGAGTGTGCGGCTTAGAAGATAGTTTTAACTTACAGACTGATTTGAATATCATTGCTCAATGGTGTAAAAAAATAATATGGGTTTGGTAGGGTTTAACCGATATGTTTCGCTTTTGAAATCGGTAGCAGTGTTCTTCGGCGAATTCAATTATTTGGGGCGTGCTCTCTAAAACTTTCATCTGTTGACCACAATTATACAATAATGGCTAAAGCATACAAAATCTTGGATTTGTTATTAGAAACAGTAGACACTTCAATAACACTAATAGATTAATTTTACTTTTAATGTTTTGTCAGACCTACTTTAGAAT